ACATCTGGTGAAAATTTCATGTCATTAGCCCCTCTAGTAATATATTTACTGAGAAAAATGGTGACGTGTTCAATACTTATTTTACCTGCTGTATTCAAAGTGTTGAATACAGGAATCAACCAAAATGTCTGCAACTCTGTCATTTCTTAATTTAAAATAATCTTAAACTCTGGCATAAGACAGCAGATATTATGCATTCCTTCAAGGAATGCCAGTTTTTTAATCTTTGTTTCATTTCAGTGTTTTGCATCTTTTCTTACTTTAACGCATCCCGTTTGTGACTGCACATACACATCCTGTCTGTAGGTTAGTGGCAGAGAGCATGTCTGTTGGTTCGACTAAACAACAGTGTTTGCGTGAATCTGTGCTCGGTCGTTAATCATCCTGACAGCTTGAAAAACAACACTTCCTCCTTAATGACTGTATTTTAGTAATCATGTCTGCTTATTTCCATTCAGGCTTTTCTTTTGCCGTAGGTTTCTTTTCCCCCCACGCATTTATTTCTGTTGCAGTGTGTGTGTGTGTGTATGTTTTGGAGGTTATTCACTGACCTCCCAAGTCTGTAGCATGGTGTCTACTCTGGGTCACGTCAGCCATTTACAGCAGTGTAACATTTGTGAAGAGGATGAAAAACCAGAAGGAATGAGTGGATGCGGTCGTAAGGATCCAGATGCGGAAAGCAGAGGATGGTGTCTCACCCACCCCAGCCGTCCCCCACACCCTGCATGTGGCTAACCCAGCGGCAGCCACTGCTGGCCTCCAGGCCTCTGCTGGTCACTGCCAAAGCACGTTTTTCCGTTAAGCAGTAGGTCTGTGATGCATGAGAGCTGACAACTAAGCTTGAAGCCCTCAGAGCACAAACCAGATCAGAACCAGCTGGGGCCAGGCACATTAGAGGAGAAACCATAATTGCATTTGCCCTTTTGTACTCCACTAAAATCCCTTTGTTGACTTTCAATTCTCACAAACGACTCAAAGAAGAAGAGGTGGCATCAGTGGGATAGGTTGTGTTTTTTTTTCTGTAAAAATACCTGCACAAATGTGAGTCAGTGGTGTGAAGGACTTCAGTTCTGTTCAGCAGCTGCTTTAACAAATGTTTTTTTTATAAAGGAGAAAGTTGTATTTTTAACATTTCTCCCTGCTGTGGGTGGATGTAAGTGAAGGGTTTCTGGTGGTTTAGAAACATCAGTATAGCATGGCCGACATCTGTGTCCGCTTTATTTTTAAACCACTTGAAAAGCACTCATAGCAGGATGATGGATGAAGTGATAAAGTTGGGGAGAGGACAAAATGAAAGCTGAGGAGTCTGTTTCTGGGAAGCAGTTTGTGAGCTGTAACTCACAAACAAGTTGCTGAAAATATCAAGGCAGATGTTTGCAGTTTGTGACTACGCCTACTGATTTTTAATAATGTCAGAGAGCAAAAGTGAAAACATTAAGGACCATTTCTTGAGGTGAAAATCAGTCTTCTAAGGACTGCACATCTCTTGACTTCTTTTAAACCTGATCTTTGTTTCATTTAAACTGGTTCAAGCTAATTGAGAGGTTAAAGGCTTGTCATGAAATGGAGGAGCAGCTCCACAGTCTGTCATCATTAATCATTGGAGCCGTCAGCCTGAACCAAGGACTCTCTTAGAGAAGCCAAGCAAGAGGGACAAAACCAGAAGATTGATATATAAACAGCAGAACATGCTTACAAGTAGGCTTTACTTAAAGTACCTAAAACGTAATCACACTGTTGGATGTTTTACCTTTTTTACAGTTATAAAATCAGTCATGGTCAATAAGAATTATATACTGTATATATTTTTAGAAAGAAAAAAAAATAACTACTAGAATAGTTCCTAAAGAAACGATGAAAGGGCTTGCCACATGCTGTCCAATTTTGATAAAGAATTGATTTTACTGCTTGTTGGAGGTCATTATCTACCATCATCCCAAATTTGAGCCAAATATATCCAACAATGGCTGAATTATGTTCAGTTTTGCATTTTAGTTATGGAGGCCATCTTGGATTTTTCATTTGGTTTCAGTATACGACGGAGATCGTGCTTAGCTACCATCACACAAAATTTCAGTCCAAAATATCTCAAAAATGGCTGAGGCATTGCAGTTTCAAGTTAGCTTTGGCAGCCATCTTGGTTTTTATTTAGCATTCAGAATTTGTCAAAGCTTTTTCTTGGTTACTACTATACGCATTTTCAGCACTGTACGTTTTAAAATGGCGGAATTATGGACTTTTTAAGTAGCATTCAGAATCACTAGTTTACATTTTAGAATATTTTATATTTATAATAATAATAATATCTTTATGCTGTTATAATTTTGAAATATCAATTCTCATTGTTTCATAGCTTTTCTCCTGACTGCGCAGCTTCCAGTAACTTGTATTTATTTAGAGTTTGCATCGAATCATATTTCGAATATCATCTGTTGCTAGGGTCCAGAAATCTGCCTCAGGCCTACAGAACAAACAGCAAAGGCACCTGAAGTGTGAAACACAGCAGAGATACTGTTGCTTTGACCAATCAGGTGTTGGAGATGAAGACACCAGAGCCTGCTAGCTGGCCTTATGCTACGTTCACACCGAACGCTTTTTGAACTGCAAAATAGCGCAAAACGCCTCTTGTTGGATGCACCACGTTCAGACCGAAGAATGCACTAGTGTTCCAGAACGAGAAGCAGCAGCAGCGGCTGCAGCCGGGTGTGGGAGGAGCATATCCTCGGCGGGTGAATCAAGATAAAATAAAAGAAAATGGCTTTGATTTATTTACGAAAAAGCAAGCGAACGTTGCGCACAGCAGATGATTAACTCACTGATAAGAACCGAGTTTTGAGTTCTGAATAAGCATCGGACCAAGACAAAGTTTTACAAAGTTTATTGTGCAGAGGTGAATGAACCAGGAAGTGCTTGGACCGGATTCTCGTCAGATCTAAACACAGGAGATTCAGATTAGTGGCAGAACAATATAGGAGGGCTTTCCAAAGAATTTAAGCCACTAACCTGTTTCCAGTTGAAGGACTCCAGACGGAAACTTTGATGGAAGGGTTTGCATTCCAGTATGGTGCGGTGACATCACCGTTAGTTTGGTTGGAGTATTTGGGTCCAAAAGGCAAGTTCTGATAATCAGTGGTACAGGCGTGGGTCGAGATCCAGGTGGTCAGATGGCTGGAGGTATTGATCAGGGGTAAGGCAAAGAGCAGGAGTCCAAGAAGCAAGGGGTGAGTCGTTACCGGTAAAGCAGATGGCAGGTGTCCTGATGCATGATTCATTAGAGAAGAACCCGTCCAGAAGACCTATTCAATTTTTTTCTTTTTCAGATGGCAGGTATAATTCGTTGGGCTGCGGCGAGAATCGTTGAGCCAGGGGACAAGAACAAGATCGGGATCAAGAGGCAATAACGAGACATAGATGAAAACGCTGGATAACCACAGGCAAGCTGATGATAATCTAATACTGAACAGAGGTGAGTGACTGGGTTAAATAGTGAGTAACGCAGGTGAAGTGAAAGAGCTGATTACTAGAAACTGTGATGGGAGGGGAAGTGGACAGGAGCAGACTGAGGCAGGGAAAAACTTGACTTTGACTATGAAAGCTAAAATAGTGACCATAATCACCAGATGATTTAGAGGCGATTTGTTCGGTTAGTTTCGTCACTCCAAAAGCTGCCAGCTTACAAACTTTTTATTTATTTTTTGTCCCGAGCAGCTGACCCACATCTGTACGGATATACCCTGCCAGAAAATCCAACTGCACATGGTCGATTTCAGGTGAAGATCTCCAGTCCGGCTGTTACGGTTTTCAGTGGGAGACACGTCGAGCGGCAAAAAGTTCAGATATTTGAACTCTGGCGGCAGCTCGGGCGGCGGCGGCTTCCGCAGCACCGCATGCGCGAAAACGCTCCGCTCCTTCCGCCTTCCCTGCGTGCCGCCCAAAACGTACATGATGCGACACATGACCCCTAGAGGCGCGTCCTCATAGACTTTGCATGTAAATCGGCTTCTCCTGCCGCTCAAAACGCATAGGGTGTGATTTCGGTGTGAAAATTTTGGACAATATCTGACGATTGACTCTTAAGAAACCAGAGCGTTGACAGAGAGGAGAAGGTAGAAATGACTCAGCCTGGAACTGAAAATATGGATGGAGGACAACAGAGCTGCTTCATGGAAGAAGAACCTCAGCTTAGCCTGTTAGCTTTAGCATTAGCCCCGATGCTATCACCATATATATATATATCAGACTATAAGCCGCACCGGACTATAAGCCGCACCG